TTATACCCAGGCTGTGGCGTCCTGGCAACAAGCCACACAGGTGCCCTCCTCCTGGTTGCCTGCTTTTCTTCCTCTTCCTCCTGTGTGCGTCTCTTCCTGGAGGTTCTGCTGGAAGTGACTCAGTTCAGGAAACTCTGTCTCAGCCCCCAGGCTCCCTGTGACCCAGCGGCCCTGCGATTTCTGGATTCAGACCCCAGGTTGGATGGCCAAGGACCGTCAGCAGGGACAGGGGACTCCACATCAGGACGCTCAAGGTCCTCCGCAAGTTTATACACCCTGCCCCTTGTCCACACAAGTACCATCCCAGTCACCAGACCCGGGGTGGGGGGACGGGGTGGGGGTGGTCCCCCCGTTTTGATTTGGAAACTCAGTGATCTACAACACCTTCCCCCCTGGCCAGGGCCAAGCGGCTGGGCTCCTCATCGGGGAGAGCTGTGGCCATGTTATTGCAAGAATAACAATGAGGGAGTCCCAGCTTTGTGCCGGGTGTTGTGCTAAGCATCTCACGTGGATCGTCTCATAACTGATTAGTTATCGGTCCCTGCCACCATTCGAGGGGCAGGTGTGCCCCACTTACACGGATGTGCAGTTAGGTTCGGAAGGATTCCGCGCTGTGTGCACGTTCTCACCGGGGCAGCCAAGCAGCAGGAATTGGAAGCTGCTGGGTTTCACTCTGGAGTCCGTGGTCCTCACCATTGGGCCAAATTATGCTGGGGCTTTGGGGGGTTTCTGAGTTTCTTGGAGCTGTTAGGTAGAAGCATATCTATTAGGTAGAAGGTATCTATTTTTTTAATAGATCAAATTTGGGTATTTTGCCCATTATTCAAAACATTCTTGTGCTTCAGTATCATTCTCTTCTCCTTCTTGTGTTGAACTTGCTTGTTGTTCGACTTCCCGATATTGTCCCAGGGACCCTCTTCATTTTTCATAATTCTGTTCTCTCTTCTTCGGATTGGATGATTCCTCCCGACGTGTCTTCAAGTTGACATTGTCTTTCTTCTTCTGTCGGCCCAGGACTGGGATGCCTGGACCCCCAGCTGCACGGTCTGAACCCGTCCGCCCGCACCTAAAGACGAGCGTCCACACCGCGCTCATCCACGCTTCCCACTGCTCCTGGAGCATGCCCATCCTGCAGCAGTGTCGTTAACTCTCCCACGGCTGCCTCTGCCTGGAACACCGCCTCCCGACCCCTCCGCATCTCCCAGGAGCCAGCTCAGCGCCGCCTCCACACAGAGGCCCCCAACCACCCACCAACACCCCATTACTCTCTACCTGCTGAGCCTGCTTTCCTTTCTGGGACTCGGCCCTCTCTGTAATTATTTCAGGCGCTGATTTGTACGCACTCATGTATCCATTGCCCCGGAAGGCCCCTGAGGCCAGGACATCTCTATAGCCAGCACAAAGTATATGTCTGTTGCACGAACAAATCGATGATTACATAGGTGGCTATAAGGCAGAAGTCGGTCACCTTTCTATAAAAGGAAGACAGTAAATGTTTCAGCCTCTGCAGTGACGTGGTCGGTCTCATAACCACTTCACATTACAGCGCGAGCCCTAGACGGCACGTAAGCAAACGAGCAGGGCCGTTTCCAATAAAACTTTATTTGCCAAACAGGCGGCAGGCCACCTTTGTCCCACAGACTTCTCTGCTCCCCAGTTTGCAGATCCCTACTTTAATGTTTTCCCGTGCAAAATAAAAGCTCCAAACACATTATTGCCCCACAGCCTCCACTGACGGCAAAAAGGAATAAAGGCTCGGCGCTGAGTCGAACCAGTGGCGCTCCGGGCACAGTACCGGCCTGGAGAAGTGACACGGACCCCAAGTAAAGTCGAACCAGGACGTCCTGTTTACAGAAGAAGAAACTGCCTCTAAGCTAAATTTAATTTACAGCGGAGCATCACGCGGGGGAGGGCGTCTCAGGACAAGAGGGTGTTGGGGAAACGTGGCGGAAACAGCCATGAGGAAGACCACAGCTGTGCCTCTGGGTGGCCAGGACGCCCACGGCCCAGTATAAAGGCGGCCCAGGCAAGGAGCCTCCAGACGTCCCCGCCCTCCTCCCTCCCGGACACCAGCCGAGCCCCATACCAACATGTGCCACACCAGCTGCTCCGCGGGCTGCCAGGCTTCCTGCGGCTCCTCCGGCCCCGGCCAGGTGTCCTGCTGTGTGCCCGTGAGCTGCAAGCCCGTGTGCGTGCCCGTGAGCTGCAGAC